AGTATGCCCACCTTAGACTTTTGGGGGACCTCCGAGGTGCTGGGCCCTAGCTCAGCGTCAGGATACAAAGGACTGAACCCAGTGTCTGCTGGGAGGTGCTTCAGGGGGTTGCGGGTTGGGGACAAGCCGGCCAGCACTTGTGAAGGAAGAAGGCGCCTGCCGCTGGAGTGGGCTGTGCCTTGTCACCTGCGGAGACCTGCAGGGCCAGCAGGGAGTGGCAGAGAGGCAGCTGCCGAGGCAGGGAATGTATTGGTGCGAGGGAGTCTTTTTTTAATGCCACCGATAATGTTATCACGTGTGCCCATGGCAGAAAAATGCAGCATGCACCCTGAAAAAGGAGGAGAAAAAAATCTGCACAACCCCGTTGTTCAGCCGCTGTTGGTACACTGCCCTTCCTCTTGTGCACTTCCTCCCACGTGCGTGCGAGTGAAAATGGGATCACATGGTGCAGACTGCTATCTAAACCACGCTGCACGGAGGATATCACGGACAGCTTCCAATGTTGACACATTTACTCTGCAAAATCTAGTCTCGTCAATTTCTTTTAGTAAAAAAAGAAAATAGATCTATATGTAGATAGATAGATAGATAGATAGATACACAGACAAATCCGAGTCTCCTTTGCAGACAGCACAGAGTGTGAAACCCAGCCCTCCGTCCCGCCCCCAGGAAACAACTGCTCTCAACGGCTGGGTGGACTTTCTCCAGATTTGCTCCTCTGGGCATGCGCACGCCTACGCTGTGCTTTCTTCCAGGACTGCGTGCTGCTGGGAAACAGCGCCAGGCCCCTCTGGTCAGACCTCAGAAAGCACACCGTGCCCGTCCCCCGGCTGCGCGGACACTGCCGGCCGCGTCCTCGATCCCGCAGCCAGCATCCTCTCGCCAGTTTCGATGGTTCCAGTTTGTTCCCCAGGACATGCGGGCTTCAGGAGACAGTCCTGGAGCTGATCTTTCTCACCCAGGGCTGTGTCTTTGACTCAGATTCCTAGGAGCGGACAGGAGGGTGTGGGGTGAGCACAGGCGGGCAATCTCTGTACTGGAGCCGGGTGTCAAGGGTCCCGGGGGGGGGAGGACGGCACTTCAGGGGGAGGGGACGCCGCGGGCCCAGGCCGGGGGCGGGAAATGGCGTCGAGAGCGTTCCCTAACGGCCTTTCGGGGGAACAATGGGAAAGACGTTGCGGCTCACGCAGCGTCCCAGGGAGGCCGGAGTTTGGCCTTGACATTCTTCTGTGTCCTCCCTTCCACAGGGGCGGGTGGCGGGGGCAGGGGGTCCCCCCTGGCCTGCCTCAGCAGGGGGCGGGGAGGAGGGGGCTGATGTCAGGAGCTGCTGTCACTCCTGATGCTGATCCCGAACTGGCCTGCGGCGCCTGGTGCCCCCACTGTGCTCCCCAGGCCATGCGGGGCCACCCCCCGCCCTGGGACTGGCCTTTTAAAGCTCAGTCTGATGTCTCCTGGGCGCTGTCCCTGGTCTGCCAAGGGGTCGATGGCTCCGGTGACTTCAGGAGACGCTCCTGGGCGTTGAGCCTCCCCTGTTGCGCCCCCGCGTCACACTCTGCCCCGCTGCGTCTGGTCATCCCAGCTTCAAACGCTTCTGGCCCCTCCGGGTTCTCCGTTACTCTCTGGGTGCGTCTCTTGCACCCCCTGCCGCTGCCACCACCGCTAATTTGTCCCGCCTCTTCTCTCTGCCCCCGTGCCGGCTGGGGGCCGCCTAGGGCTTGAGTCTTTAATCGCTGGCAGGGCAGAGCCCCGTTTGCTCTCCAGAGGACTTTCAGGATAGACCCTCGTCTTCTAGATAATCCAGAACCTTCACCGCCCACTCCCCGCACCGCCCCAGCCTCCAGGCCCTGCCTCTTCCCCTCATCTGGTCCTTCTGCTCCTTCCCTGTGTCTCGGGGGGCCCTGGTCTTGGGGCCAGGGGACACAGCTGCCCCGCTGGGGTGTGCCCTGCCCTGGCGGGGGCACACGCCCCCCACGCAGGAGGGTACAGGCGGGGCCTGGGGGGGTAGCCTGCAGCCTCCACCGCTGACGGGACGTTGCATCTGAACGTTAACTCAGACCTTGTATCCTGCTCCCCGATGAGACCAGTTTGTTTTAACAGCGAAATATGGGTGCTGTTCTTTGGTGTTGAGTGAATTGACGCTCGAATCAGGTCACCGGCGCCGCCCCGACATCTCACGTGGCCCCGTGCACACTGCGCAGCCCTCAGCCGCGGGGCCCCGTGCGACAGTCTGAGGCGGGTCGCGGTCACCCCAACAGCTCCTGGGTGGGGCCTCGCGTCCTCGGGTGACTAGGAGTGGTCCCCTGACCCTGGAAAAGGGGCAGGCCTTGGACGGGGAGCCCCGCCCCCGCTGCCCGAGCCCGCCTGGGCGCCTCCTCCAGCGGCCACCGCTGTGCACGCAAGGGCCCTCCTTCCGGCGACCCACGGGGCGGGGCCCAGGCCAGCCGAGCAGGGGCACCCCGAGCAATCCCCGACCCCAGCCCCAGGGACTGCCTTCGGCTGTGAGGGGCAGAGGAGAAGGGAGGGAGAAGCAGAATGCACAGATCCCCGCGCCTGCCCCCGCCCTGGCCCCCCGTCTCTGCACAGTGCGAGTGGGGCCTAGCCCCAGCCCTCGGAGGCAGCGGCGCCCGCCCTGCACCGCTGTGGGCACTCAGCGGAGGGGCCCCCAAGCCAAATCCTGGTCTCCCAGAACCTCGGCAGATGAAGAAAGGCACATTGTGCGGCTCGCGGCCCCGCCCTGCTGCAGAAGTGGCTGAAATCCTGATATTGATGTGGTTTTGTTTAGCAAACAAGGAACATGCAAAGCAGCTCGTGTGTGTGTGTGTGTGTGTGTGTGTGTGTCCTGCACCCACCCTCACACCTCCCCCCACCTAGGAGGTGCAGGGTGAGGTCCCTCACCCGCGGCTGGGGCCACTACAGGCCCAGCCCTGCTGTGCGGCTCTGGGCAAGTCCCTTCCCGGTCTGGGCTTCCCGGTCGCACGGACGGGAGGCCGGGGAGCGGCTGATCTCCAGGCGGAGTCGGCTCTGGGGCGCTGGCCGCTGGGGGTCCTCTTCCTCTGGCTCCAGGGGCCAGGTCTGCGGGATGTGAACTGGGGGGAGCCCGCTGAGCGAACCCGACCGCCTTCCCACGCAAATCCCGAACCCCCACTCCGCCCTCGGCACCCCGGACAGGTTTGCGCAGGGGAATCCTGGCTCTGGTGAACAGGAAGAGCCTGGGGCATGCAATAGGCCAGCGGTCCTGCCCCGCCCAAGCCGGGGCCCTGGAGCCCACTTTCCCACAGGACCTTGGGTTCCCACAGGGTCCCAGCAGAGGCGAGGTCCGGAGGAAACACCGGCAGGTGTCCTCGGGGGACAGGTGCATGGGGGCCTGAAGTCTGAGACCTGGAATCGGGTACCCTGGTCCCAGTGCCGCACTCTCCTGCTGTGTGACCTTGGGCAAGTGGGCCGACCTCTCTGGGCCTCAGCTGCCCCCTCTGTAAAACGGGAGAAGGGCACCTCTTTGCACAGGCAGGAGGCAGTGTGTGGAAACCCGGGTCCGGCTCGGTACCCGCAAGTGACTCACGTAGAGCAGCCCTTGCTGTGGGCCCGGCCTGGGCTTGGTGTTGAGAGCCAGAACCCAGAGACATGCCAGCTAGCAAAGGGAAGGTCACCCCTGGTCACCGCCAGTCCAAGTCCAGCGGGTGCTGAGCTGCAAGCGAGGAACCCACGGAGCCCAGCGCTTCGAGGCGGGAGGACTTCGCGCTGGAAAGGCCGTGGGAGGAGCCTCGTCCTTGGCGCGCACGGCCCCTGCTCACTGCTGTACTCACCAGGGAGTCCTCCCAGGGACCCGCAGGGATGCACGGCACGCCCACCGTTTGACGGAGCGGGGGCTCCACCCGAAGTCACACCGCCAGCGAGGGGGCACCAGGCTTCACTCAATCACATCCGCTGAGTGCTTTGTGCCATATGGGCAAACACTGCCAGGTCCCGGGGCCAGGACGCAGGTGTCACCTCTGGGGGCCGTCACTCAGCCTACCACAGCGGCCACGTGAGGACCCGGCTGCGGGAAGCTTACCCTGAATTAGCTAGGTGGGCCCCGCGTGGTCAGCCTCGCGTTTGGCTCCAGAGGACTCACGTTGGCTCCTGAACCTCCAGGACTGCGAGAGGAGTTTGCGTTGCCTGAGGCCCCCGAGCACAGCCCTCTGCGCTGGCGGGGCCCTGCCCAGCGGTCTTGCCGCGCCGTGTCCGATGCTCCTGGTCCAGCCCCCATCTGTTTGGTCTGGGCACGCGTCTCCCAGCCTGTCTTAGGGCGACTGTGTGGCTGTCGCTGCTTTTCGAAGCTTCCCCCCACCCCTCCCCAAAGCCTCGGACGCTGGCTCGCACCCAGCAGCCACCTAGTAAATGCTGGTCCCACGTAAATAAACCTGTGTCTTTATTTCCATTTACAGCGGTCGAGGGGAACGGGCACTGGACGGCAAGAGCTGCTGGCGTCTCCAGCCCCAGGGTCTGATGGCGGGACTGGACCCCCGGCCCCAGGGCCAGGCGAGGGCCGGCCGGCAGTGGGGGGGAGCCAGCAGGTTTGGCTGAAGCAGAGGGGTGCTCGGCATCCCCCGGGGGCAGGAGGCGGCTCTGATCTGACCACCCGGCGGCCCGGAAGAGGCCCCCGCAACCCAGGGGACCAGGTGTCAGCATGAGGGGCAGGAGGCGCCAGGAAGGGTTCTCGGTGGGTCCCGGCTCCAGTCTGCCCGCAGCACCCCTGCCCACGTGGGGCTCCGCTGGCCTTCCGGGCCCTGCCCTGGGGGAGGCGCCCACGGTTTCACACCGGCAGCTCAGCTCCCACCCCCTATGGCAGGAGACTCTTGTTCCAGAGAGGGAAAGCAATTTGTCCAAAGTCACGTAGCAATTTCGTGAGTCTGAAAACAAGCTGGAAGACTCTCATCCAGTGCTGCCGCCAAGAGCCTGGGGATCTGGGTGCGTGAGGCTGACCTCCCTCCGGGCGGTGGGGCCTCGGGGCGGGCGCTGCCTCACTTGAGGTTGTGCTGGCTCTCGCGGTGCCGCCGAAGGTCCACCTTGCGCTGGAAGCCCTTGGTGCAGAGCTCGCAGCTGAAGGGCTTGAAGCCTGTGTGCTTCCGGCTGTGGGTGATGAGGTTGGAGCTCTGGCTGAAGGCTTTCCCGCACACCTGGCACTTGTGCGGCTTCTCTCCTGCGGGACAGCAGGGGCTGGGTCAAGGCTGTGCGCGCCCGGCCTGCTGCCCCAACGCCTGGCGCAGGTTCCCCAAAATTCTCTTGTTGTAGCAGTCCACACTGGCTTGCCACCCACTCCTTCACTGGATCGTACCCGGATTAGGGCAGGGGCTGGGTCTGCCTGGGTCATCAGCCTAGCACGGCTCCTGACATGGAGCCTCTTACAAAAGAGGCACTCGGGTGGCAGCCAAGGGGGGCAGGGAGGAAGGAAGGAAGGGAGAGAGGGAGGGAGGGAGAAGTGAGTGAATGGAGGAAAGAATGAGTGAATGAACAAAGAAATGAATGAATGAATGGTGAAGTGAGCGAATGAATGAGTGAAAAATTCACCTAGTCTCACTTCTACCCAGAGGCCTACACTGCTGACTTCTGCTCTTTCCTGCCAGCATTTTCTCTATGCACCAGGTGAACTTAAGTAACGCGTGGCAGCCAGCCCTCCTGTTGGAGGGGAGCCCCCCATGTAACTTGACCCCACCGTCCTGCTAACAGGGAAAGGTGGGGGTACGCAGGGACGCTGCCTGGGCCCGGGAAGCACGGCCCGGGGACACGGGGGGCGGGGTGCAGCCTGGCGCCGGCGGCTCACCGGTGTGGATGTAGGTGTGCTTTTTCATGTCCGACTTCTGGTGGAAGCGCTTGCCGCAGAACTGGCAGGGGTAGGGCCGCGTGTCCGAGTGGATGAGCAGGTGGGTGGACAGGGTGGACGAGCGCTTGAAGGCTTTGCCGCACATCCGGCACTCGAAGCTGCGCTCCTGCCGGAGGAAACGAGGCCCCGGGGGGTCAGGCGCAGGTGGGGCCTCGCGACCCAGGGCTGCCAGGCTGGGCGCAGGACTGGACCTGGCCGGAATCCCCTGAGGAACAGGACACTCCGTTGGGGGGGCCTCAAGGACAGCGCCTGGTGGAGCAGGACCCAGGGTCCCCCATTGCTGCCCCCCAGGAGCGGCTGAGGCTTGGGGCCTGAGTGGCCTCCTGTGGGATTTTCCCCTGTAACCTTCACAGTATCCCAAACAAAGTTCATGTTTGTTGACTGACTGATGGACCGACTGATCTGGGAGGTTTTTTTTAGGGATTCACATTTCACGTCCCTGAGCCCAGAGTGAGTTCCCTGAGGTGGGGACGGTCAAAGTCTGAATTACTGAGGCCTGAGTCTGGCTTCTGCTTCTTACGAGGCATGTGACCGTAGGCAAGTTGTTTAATCTCCCTGAGACTCCGTTTCCTCGTCTGCACATTGGAACAGTAACGCTGACGACCTCAAAGGGTCGTCGGAAGGCTCGGAGGCCAAGAACCGGCCCGCGGTTCGTGCCCACAAATGCACGTTCTCGTGGTCATTTCCTGCCTCGCCCACCTGACCCAGGGGTAGCAACTCAGGTCAGCTGCAGGTGCTCTTCTGGAATGGAACACTAAAGGCAGGGTTCCTGCCTCAGGTAGGGCTACGGGGCAAGAGGGGAATGCTTAAGCCTGACTCTAGGATGCCAAGGCAAGGACACGTGCCTGGCCCCAAGGGACAGGACCATGTCCGAGCCTCACAGACACCGTGCTGCCCGGAAACCAATCCGGGCCAGAGAGTCTCCCAACTGTGCAGGAAACTGACTTGGTCCATCAGGGAGCTAAGCGTGTCAGGAGTGGGCATCGGAGGCTCAGACGTGGGGAGGAGGGAGTGAGGGCCCCCCACTCTGTGTCCCTGGGCTTCCTGGGAGTAGCACAGAACAGGAGGGGACGTGAGGGTGCTGGGCTGGGCCATCTGCCCACCTGGGAGTGGACGTGTGTGTGTTGCTCCAGGCTCACCGCATGGCCGAAGGTTTTGCCGCAGACGTCACAGGCGAAGGGCCGCGTCCCGCTGTGGGAGCGACGTACATGCACCTCGAGCCCGTGTGGGGTGGAGAAGACCTGGGGGCGGGGCAGCGCGTGAGCCCACGGGGCTGCAGAGGGCAGCTGGGCCTGGGCCCCAGGGCAGTCCCACCCCCACCCCTGCCGGTGCCCAGCTCCAGCTGCGACAGGCGGCGGGGAAGGAGCCCTGGGTCGCCGATTGTGCTGGTTTGTGCTGTGCATCCTGGGACGGTCCCTTTCCCCATGGGGCTGGGTTTCCTGGGTATAGAATGGAGCCTGGGGGAACCTGGATGGCCCCTCCTAGCCCTCTCTGGAGGCCTGGTGGTTAAGAACCAAGGTCAGCCGGAGCCAGGCTCGAACCCGGTTCGGAGGTCTACTTGCTGTGCGCTCGTGCTGAGTGACTCAGCTTTTCTGAACCTTAGCCGGGCATCTGCCTCCCGGGGCTTAGCACGGGGCTGGGCACCCAGTCAGGGCTCAAGGGACAGTGACGAGGACACAGCTGGGGATCCTTGATGCCACCAGTGGCCCAAGATGCGCAGGGAAGGACTGCCCAGCTCTGAAGTCCCGCTGTGGCCGGCGGGCTGGGGGCAGAGGCAGAACGGGGCGCCAGCCCGCCCACCTCCGCCGCGCACCTTGTTGCACTTGACGCAGTGGTACGTGTCCATGCCCGGGGAGTAGCGGAGGCTGAAGTCCAAGGGCGGCTCGGTGCTGGGCACCAGGGGGCTGCCGTACAGGCTGACAGAGCGCTCCAGGAAGGCAGACTGCATGGTGGAGGGGGCCTGCCGGTAGCTGTGGCCGTAAGACGAGGCCAAGGCATCCCAGGAGAAGCTGGGCTTGTAGAAGGGGGGCGAGTCGGAGGGCGGTGAGTCCCCCCGGTCCCGGGTTGGGGGCATCACAGCAGGACCGTCTGTGGAGAGTGAGGCCCGTGCCTGGTGGTGACCCACTTAGACGCAGAGAACCCACTCCCCCACCATGTGCTGGGGGCTCAGTGCGTACGTCCTCGACGTGCAGGTCCGGACCCTCGCTGTGGGTCCTCGGCTCTCCCAGACCAGAGCCCTCCGCCCCTACAGAGGGCCCCCCCGCCCCCACTGCCCCAGGCCCCTGCGTCGGCCTCCCAGCTGCTCCCTCCAACCCCCACCCCAGTCTCCTCATCTGGAAATGAGCTCCCATCTGGGAAGGGTCCGTGCAGAAGCCCGGGAGCCCAGCATGCAGGTGACCTTGCTGGTCCTTCCTGACTCCACGACTCCAAGGGTCCCTTTTTCCTGGAGCCCCCCAACTCCCTTGCCCTCCCTGAAACGGCCAGGGGTCTCAAGCCAGGTACCTGGTGCCAAGACCATCCTGGTCAAGCTCTGGTCCAGCTCCAGCTCTGGCTCCCGTTTGAGGTCGGTCCAGTCCAGACACTGGTTCGGTAACAGGGTACTGACAACAGGGTCATCGCTCGGGACTTGATCCCTGGTCACTGGGGGGAGACAGGACGATCAGCGCCACCAGCTGCAGCCCTGGGAGGGAGCACTCCCTTCTCAGGGGGAAGGGGACCCGGAGAGAGACCGGCTTGCCGCTGCCACTCTGGCTGCTCAAACTCAGGGGCTCTGCCCAGGTCGGGGAGCCAGCTGGCGACCAGGAGGGGACCCCCTGGAGCGCTCTTGGACCAGCGTCTTGTTCTGCGGAGCACCCGCCCTCAGCCCTCGATCGGATCCGTTTAGGGCCCGCGCGTCCTCAGGTGTAGCCACCGAGGACCAGATGAACTCTGAGCTGTCGCTGGCCCCAGGGCTCAGGGAGATGGGGCATTCATTCACTCACTCACTCAGCCCACACAGATGGGGCTCCTCCTGCTCTCAGATCTGGAAGGGGCAGGGGGCAAGGGGCTGCTGCAGCCCCACCACGGGGGGCAGGGGGCAGAGGGGGCGCACGGGGGGCGGGGCGCGGCCTGTGCTCTCACTCACCCGGGCTCAGGGCAGGAGGCCAGACGGGTTCCTCATCCTGGGTGCGGGGCTGGTGGTACGTATGAGCCTTCTTGCTCTTCACCAGGAAGGAGCGTGGCATTGTCCCCGTGTGCCCCCAACACCTGCATGCGGAGAAAGAGAGGACGCTTAGGAGGACAGTACTCCACGGCATGGTGGCGCCTCCTCCTGAGGCTGGAACTCACTGCCCTGGCCTGAACAGTGTCCGCCCAATGTCTATGACTGTGACCTTAACCTTATTTAGAAATAGGGTCTTTGTGGATGTGATCAAGTTAAGATGAGGTCACGCTGGATTGGGGTGGACCCAAAATCCAATACACCTATGTTCTTTTTTTTTCCCTTCAATTTTTATTTATTTACTTAGTTTTAGAGAGAGGGGAAGGGAGGGAGAAAGAGAGGGAGAGAAACATTGATGTGCAAAAGATACATTGATCAGTTGCTTCTCGCATGTCCCCAGCTGGGGACCTGGCCTGCCACCCAGGCATGTGCCCTGACCGGGAATCGAACTGGCCACCTTTCAGTCCATAGGCTGGTACTCAATCCACTGAGCCACACCAGCCAAGGTGCCTGTGTTCATATAAGAAGAAGGGAATCTGGGCCCACAGGCCCAGACACGCAGGAGAGTGCCACCCACGAGGTGGAGGCAGAGACTAGGGTGACACAGCCACAAACCAGCGGCCGCCCAGGGTCTCTGGGGGCTGCCAAAGGCAGGAGGGGGCGTGAAACACGCGCCCTCAGAACCTGCACAAGACCGGCCCGCCGACACCTTGACTTTGGCTTTGTGGACTCCAGAGTCCTGAGAGAATGTGCTTCTGAAGTTTTAAGCTGCCCGGTTTGTGGCACCTGCTTATGGCACCTGAAATTCCTAACTGCCCTCACTATTCCTGGGTAGGAAACGAACACGCCCACCTCTAGAAAGCCACTGCCGCCCATGTGCCTGAGCTGCCCCGGAGCAACGGAGGAAGAGGGGGTCCCCACAGGCGTGCCCTGCGGGCCCACATCCAGGGAGCTGCATTGCGTGCTGGTTGGCTCAGCCCCTAGAGGTCATGGAGCGGGGGTGGGTCTCTACTCAGGGTGGGGAGCCAGAGGCCCCTGAGTGAGAATCTCAGCTCACCTGCTGTGTGGTTTGGGGCAGACCCTTAGCCTCTCTGGGCCTGTTCCCTTTTCTGCGAGCTGGGGCGCCCAGGTCTTGGGGAGGAGCCCCCTGCCCTCGCCGCCCAGGGCTGCAGGGCAGATAGGGCCAAGCGCGGGAAAGGGATCGCGCTGCTCTGAACAACAGCAAGGGTGGCGGTGATAAGGCCCGGGCTGGCGGCTCTCTGGAGGAGGGAGATTACAGAGGACAGCTTGGGGCTTGCTCTGCTTTCAGAGCAAACCCGGGAGTCCCCTGGGGGTGGCCCTGCCCAGGCAGAAGAGGGCCCCCGGCTGCGCCCAGGGCCCCGGGGGCCTCAGGAGTTTGGGCTGCGGCCACCCTGCCCCGGCGCCTGCCCAGGCCTGGCCCTCCTTGCTGTGTGCCTCAGCGTGCAGGTCTGCTACGTGGGATCACAGCCCAGCTTCCTGGGGTCACCGGGGCAAGGGAGGACCTTCATTTATTACAGACAAGCGTGTGGGACGTGCGGGGCCTTGCGCCCGGGCCACAGGGAGGGCCAGACGAGGGCGGCAGGCGGTTGTCTCCGCCCGCAGGGGCCACAGCTCAGGAGGCGGGGCTGGCTGTGCACCGTCCGTCCGGCCTCGTCTCGTCGCTTGCCCCGCGCTGGGCTCACAGCAGGCGCACTCGGAGGACGGGGACAAACCCAGGAGGAGCAGGGCCACGCTCCAGGCCCCTCCGCCACGGGGCTCGGAAACGAGGGGCGGGACTCGAAGGCGGTGTCAGATTTTGACCTCACAGGGCTCCCCAGGCCAGCCGCGCGGCCCACGGTGGCCTTATCTCCCGGGGACAGTCTTCTTCCGGCCTCCTCCCCCCCGCCCCCAGGGCTCCCCACAGCCCCCTTCCTTCCCCCTTCCAGCTCTTGGCTGCAGGAGCGAAGCCCTGGGGAGGTCAGGCCCTGGGCAGTGGGAGAGGAGACCCCTGAGCTCTGCGGGAGCCTCCCAGGGCCCTGGTCTATCTCTGCAGCAAAAGATTTGTCCTTTGACACAGCACATTGTTAGTAAATCCACTAGAGCCGACGGCAGGCAGTGACGTTGCTGCACTTGACCTCCAGGGACCCTCCCGCCACATCCGCCGCGCCCCAGCCCTGTGAGCCCTGACCCGGGAACCGAGGCACCTGACCCCGCCTCACAGAGGGAAACCAAGGCCGAGGGCCGGGCTCGCAACCCCAGGGCCGAGCGAGGTGCAGCAGGCGGGATGCGGCCACCCCGCCCCAGGCCGCCGCGCTGCTGACCACCAGACCACCGGGCGGGTACTTAGTGTGGAGGGAGCGGGGCAGACAGGCAAGGAGGACAACAAGACAGCGTTTAAAGCTCCCTGGGTGCATGGTGTCACCGATTCCGACACCCACGGGGCAAGGGAGCAGTGGTTGTCTTCACAGGCCCCAGGGGTAAACTGAGGCTGAGAGAGGCACGTGACCTGCCAGAGGCTCACAGCCAGGTTGGGCCTATGCGCCGATGCTGCTGGCACTCGGCCCCTGGCCTGGTGCTCAGCGCGTCACGTCCGTGGCCTGTTCGGCCCCGGATGCAGGCAGCGGAGGGAGTCTGGCTGCTGGGGCAAGAGGCTGGAATAATCAAAGTCCCCTGGTCTTTGCCTCTTTTCCAGGACCCAGAAGGACCCTTGTCAGGCGCTAAAGAGCTTTGGTGAGAGGCAGGTGAGAGAACAGATTTCCTTTGGGAAGCTCTGGTCTCCCCTCAGGCCTAGACCACAAGGAGGCCCAGGACGAGAAAACAGGGCCTCTCTCTCAGGTTCACGAGCTTGCCCGGCGGCCCACCGCACCCAGGGAACTTCCTTTTGACCCCTGTTACCTGACTTTAGAAAAAAACAAAACAAAACAGGAACCAACCACCTATATGGCGGTTAATTAACAACTACAACTACACCGTTTTGATTCACAGGAACCCATCCTGAGAAAGAGCTAAGAGCAGAGATTGTGAAAGAAGACTAAGATTTCTTCATAAAACAGAGACCTCGATGGTATCAGACTCCGGAAAGAGACTCACTGTTAACATCTCTTTAAAACCCCCCAATCCTGATAGAGGGTCCCTGAACCAGAACCAGAATCTCAGCCGAAACTCCTGAAGTTGGTGGAGGTGGGGGATCCTGCACCCCAACTTCCAGGTAGAGTGGGAGCAGCAGGCCCGGGATTTCCGAGTCTGATTTGGGGACCTTGCCCTTGACCACATCAGCCGCTAACCTGAGACTTGGTTTTCCTGTCTCTCAGAAGGGACGGTTGGACTAAGATTTCTCCACTTCCCTCTTGCTCTCAAATCCCATGCACAGTCCGTTGACCATCAGCTCGTACTGAGCCACCTTGTCTGAGAAGCGCATCCCTTGGCTTCCCCTTTTGGGAGGGTTGGGCAAGACTTGTTTCTCAGAGTCAGCTGTAGAGGACCCTTTGGACTTCCTTGTGTTCAAAGGCGTGACTTCAGGGGAAACAAAAAACAAACAAACAAAAGCCCTTTCCAGGTAGAAGGAGAGGGAAGTGGGCCCCGGTCATTTCAGGGGCAGAGCAGAGGCTGGGCATTATTTTGATTTGAAACTGGGAAGGCGTTCTCCAGTGTCTCTTCCTACGTCTGGAGAAAACAACATCAAAAGGGAGTGAATCAATTTCTGGGTGTATCCCCCAAGGAACTGAAAGCAGGGACCCGAACAGATACCTGTGCACCCCGGCTCACAGAAGCGCTGGTCACAGTATCTGAAAGGTGGAAGCAACCCACCTTTCGCGGGAAGTAGCTCAAGTGTCTGTCAATGGATGATGAATAAATGTGGTTATCAGTCAAATATTACTCAGCCTTAAAAAGGAAGGAACTCCAGACACCTGCTACAGCGCGGATGAAACTGGGGACATTATGCTGAGTGAAACAAGCCAGCCACAGAAGGACAAGGACTGTGAGTCTACTCACATGCAGTATCTGCAATAGGCAAACTCACCGAGACCAACAGGAGAACGGGGGTCACCCGGGGCTGGGGTGGGGGAGCGGGAGTTATTGTTCAGTGAATACAGAGTTTCAGTTTTGCAAGCTGAGAAGAGTTCTGTGCATGGATGGCGGCGGCGGCTGTGCAACCATGTGGATGTACTTCATGCCACCGGACTGCACGCTTAAAATGGTCGAGGTCATGTTAGGTGTATTTTACCTCAATAAAAACAAAAATGAGCGAATAAGGAACGTCCTGAGCATTTCTGAATTAGAGGCTAGAGCAGCTCCTGTTGGTTTGAATTCCTGGAAACTGCTGACCAAACACCTGCCTCTAGCCTACGGATGGGAGTGGTAAGGTTTTCCACGGTTTCTGAAAGGGGTGGAGAGGTGCGGTCCCAGCGACATGTCCCACCTGAGCAGGCTGTTTTCCTGGTGATCTAGCCCCACAGCCTTGGGGAGTCCTTGTGTTCCCCACTGAGCAGCACCCCCAAGCGCAGCTCACCCTCCAGGGGCGATAGATCTGCCCCAGTTTTGAGAAGCTCCATCCATCACGGCGAACCCCAGTAGCTTTCCGACTTTCCCCAAGAACTTTGTGCAGGAAAGCCAGTATAAAGACCCCAAAACCTGAGTTGGAAGGGACTTTCCTGGTCTCCTCATCCGTGGAGTCCCTGGGCGCGCCGGCTCTGAGAACAAGAGACCGGCCACTTCCCTGAGACGGCAAGTCTCTTCTCACTGCCTGCTGGGCGGCGCGCCAGGAGCCCGGCAGCGCGGGTGAGACGCGGCTCCACGTCTGGGGACTGCCAATTAACCCCGCGCGCCCAGATCTCACAGACGCCATGGCCCATGCCCTAGGAAAAGTACGCAGGCACCTACCCCCCAGGACTCCGCGGACTGCGCCCCGCAACAAGCCCTTTGTTGCTAGGGCAAGCGCCTCGCCCCAGCCGCCCAGACTCCAACTTGGTTTTTCCTCCCAAAAGAGGTAGAAAAGGCGGTGACACCAGTGCCCCATCTGCAGTC